ATATGGAAAACATGCTCACAAACGGAAATGTATATAATTAAGTAATTGTAAAATGTAGGAGGTTAAATTATAGGGGTTGAAGTCTTGTTTTGGAAAAGTTAACATTTCATTTTTTTGCTTCAGCTTTCGGCAGATTTTAAGCCTGCATCAAGAACCTTTATTCTGAAACAATATTAAATACATAAAAATATGAAATTGGTATGTATAAAAAACAAAGGATTAAAGAAAAAAATTAATTAATAATAGATTTTTCTCAAAGATATACAATAAGTAGCGTAAACAATTTTTTATGTCACTCTAATACCTGATTGAATGTCAACATTATTTTTTTCTAAAGGTGGCCATTCACGATCACTCCAAATGGAACCGCGCCAAGCCGTACAGCTCCATTTGGAGTGCCTGAAATTTGAGGGGCATTCACGACCGCTCCACAGCCAGTCGCTCCGAACGTCAACCAGTGGATTACCTTCTCAAAATGGATGACGATCTCTTGTGCTACTCTTCTGTTTATTTACATATTAAAAGCAAAAAATCGAAGAGGAAATGGTGTAAGAAGTGGCTCCTGAACAGACGCAGTAATACCCACATCAATTTGATGAAAGATCTTTCCCTTGAACCCGCTGATTGGAGGAACTATTTAAGGATGGATGAAACGTCTTATTTATTCATTATCTTTAGTGTTCTATTGACCAAATTACTTCTTTCAATTTTTTAAACTTTTTTGTAAGGTTTTGGTTGAAATGAAAAAGCTAGTACCACGAGCGGGATCTGAATCCATGTCCTTCGGCTAAATACGCCGCTGCTCTACCACTTGAGCTATCGTGACTTCGATCCTCTCCGACACCGAAAAATGGCAAAAAGAGAGAAAATTCGAAAGGTTGTAGGTTGAGATGGGGAGTTGGTGCCTGAGTGGATCGAACTATCGAAGTCAGTATAGCTCAAGTGTTTAGCGCAGCGGCGTATTTAGCCGAACGTTGGATTCGAATCCCCTCGTGACACTATTTTTTCATTTCAACCAAAATCTTACAAAAAAAAGATTAACGTCTTATTTATATTTACTCCAGCTTGTTACCCCCCTTGATTAGAAAACAAAAGACAGTCATGAGAGAAATCATCACTCCAGGAAAGGTTGGCAACCACATTACGATTTTTCGCTATAGGGATGAACTACAAAGAACTTAAGTTCTCTACTACGGTTTCTGATCATTGTTAGGGGTTATCAATACCTCATCACTCATTGCATTTGTATCCTTTGTTTTGAAAACGTCGACCAACTGGTTGAGGATCGAATTTCTTTTATTTCTATCGTGGTAATATAATCATTGTCCACCACTTTCATAAACATGGTAAACTTTCATACAATTCAATCACCTCAACAATAAAATCTCGATTGGATGTCATTACCAATAAAGAATAAACGTTTTTGACTTTTTGAGAATGTACGACGGAGATGTTTGCTCAGTGACAGAAAGACGGAGACTGCGCCAAAAAAACGAGGGTTTTCCCATTCACGACCAGGCCACCGCGCCAAAATCCCCACCCTCCACGCCAGATTTTCCCATTCACGAACGCGCCATGCCGTCGTCGCGCCGTAGATATTTGGAGTGGCGCGATGGAGTTTGGACCGGTCGAATATTCGGCACAGCCGGGCACGCCAGTTCAGTTTTGCCATTGACGTGGTTTTTGGAACGGCGTCGCTCCGTTTGGCCTGCTTGGAGCGATCGTGAATGGCCACCTTAAGTGAGACCAATCAAATTTTGATACATTTCTGAATGTTAGATTTTTTAATGTAGAAAATGACACCAAGAACAATTGGATTGGTTGCCTATATTCAGAGTTTTAATTAATAAAGAGTGGGGAGGGTTATTTCATTCCTTGCAGTTCAAATAAAGTTCATAATATTACTGTGATATAGTAGATGGGGGTTTGGTTTTCGAGTTGGCGAACTCATGTTGAACCGGCACACGGGCACTACTGGGTCTGCCTTCACTCGCGAGTTTTTTGTTGAGTTATTCAAACGCGTTTCGGCATTACGCTATCTTCAGTAAAAAACTGTCTGTCATTTTGTCTGAGTAAGGTTTTTATAGTATTGCGTCCGTCGCTTGTCGCTGGAGGCGTTGCGTTACGGGGCGTGGTCTTCGTGCTCGTTGGTCGGTCTCGGTGGCGGTTATTTCCGTTGTCAGTTATTATTTGTGTGTTGTTGTTTTTTCCTGGTGTTGGTTACGATGTTTTGTTTTACCGAACGTTTTCGTTTTTTGTTATGAAGTGTTTTTAATGGTGTAAAGGTGGTGTGTGAATGTGAGTTTTTTGTGCGTTTATAAGTTTTCCGTCTTTAAGGGTTATTTGTTTGTATATCTCGAGGTTCTCCAGTATGTTTAGTTTTACGCACAAAAAGGACGAAAACTGAGGTCACGCCCCCAGCGACAAGCGACGGACGCAATACTATATAAACCTTACTCAGACAAAATGACAGACAGTTTTTCACTGAAGATGGCGTAATACCGAAACGCGTTTGGATAACTCAAACAAAAAAAACCGCGAGTGAAGACAGACCCAGTAGAGCTCGTGTGCCGGTTCAACATTACTGTGATAGTAACAAAACTTAGACCTTTTATTTTAGACTGTGGGGTTGTCATTTAAAATTTTTTCGATAACCCTTCGTTTTCTCGAAAAGTATTTCACAAATATACGCAATTTTATATTAGGAAAAGTTAAACCCTCTATTCTCATTAAACAGAAAATATTGTCAGGTCTTTCGTTTTATATAATTTTGTGTCATAATCGTAAATCTTACCCTTCACAGTCCAAAACACTTCAAATAACCCTTAAGAATATCTCGAAGATATACCGCTGACGAAGGTAATTAAGGCGGATGTCATTAAGGATTAAACATGGTACAACAGAGTGATAGACCTCGTTTTAATATTTTGAGTTCGATACTTAACGAATTTTCCCCATTCAAATTAAAAGAAACCATTTAAATATGCTGTCATTCCTGCCAAATAATCAGATATATTGTGTCGGACAAATTGTTAAGTGCGTACGTAAAATAGTTATTTCAACGTTCAAAAAATACATATTTTTTAAAGCAATTTCTTAACATTGAAATTTGAAGCAAAATAAGGAAAACAAGCTGGTCATTTCCTTTTACAAAGGCATAATTCGTCTTTTATTGATTTTTTCAGTGCAGGTAATTATAGGCTTGAATCAGGAAAAATTGTAATCAACGATGAAAACAAAATGGTTTATTAATTTTGAAAAATTGCTTAACGTAACAGAAATGTCATGGAACGTGGGATTTTAAATTATGGCTCGTTGCATTGTAACATTGTCACAAAACAATTCACAAAACAATTCGAACTCATATTTTTATTTAATGACAATTAATTAATGTTTTTAGTTGAGATGAATTGATTAAAAAAACGATTATACAACTTTCTAACCATAATTATTAATAATGCTTTTATTCTAAGGTCTAATCGTTGAGATGAAAAAACTAGTGCCACGAGCGGGATTTGAACCCACAATATTCGGCTCAATATTCCGCTGCTCTACGCTCTTGAGCTATAATGATTTTGATAGGGCATCACCTCATCCTCTCAATTTACAACATTTATTTTTAATTATCGTATTGTTAATTAAAATAATTAATACAGCGGCATCCGACAGCTTGGTCATTTCAGCACTAGCGAAATACCGCTACACACTCGATGTGATACAATCACACTAATAAATACATTCACACGCATATACATTGATTACACTCATTCTGTTTGGTAGATGGAGAACTCGATATTCCTCCATCTACCTGTCAATGTATTTATTAGCCATTATTATGATGGCGAGTTCTCAGCGGAATTTCCAGTAGAGGAGACACGCTGAATTTAGGTTAAACAACAATACAACAATTCAAGTTTTCTTTTTTGCCTTATTTTTAATACGGTCAATTATGACTACTAAATACACGTGTGGATTTCTGACTATATTTTCTTTTATGTAGATAGATTATCTGTGAAAAATTAATTCGCAACGTCACTTTGTAAATAGGGAAACGAAATTGGCCATGAACGTGATCGTTCGTAGTGAGCTCGAAAATAAACAGAAACAAATATTTGATGCTTTTTATCGTCGTGGGGCGGTTTTTATTTAAAATCCCGCGAGATCCGTCTTGGTCAATTCCTTACGATGATCCCTTTTATTATGCATCAGTCGGCCTAAGCCCTCATCACATCTGGTCAACTCCTCATGAATAAATAGCTCCAGGCTCGAGGACCTCTTTCAATAATGAAACTTTTCCCAGTCTACCAGGATTGGATTGTCCCGGTGAATATTATGCAAACCGCGTCCTTCTATGTTTCTTCTGAGTGTTATCTCCTCCCTGGAGACGGCGGGAAAATAACTTACCGTTCACTGAACCGGACAATAAACGGCCTCTGGGTTTTGTAAAACTCTTCAATGGAAACCTGGCAGTGGGAATTAGTTTTATTCTAGAGCATGAATAAAATATTTTCGACGAACATTTGATTGTCATGAAATATTAAAATTTTATAAGCCTTCCAATTTGATCCCTTCGTGTACAGAAATCATTAGATTTCATGCATCAAGATATACATAGATCATTTAAACGGCAATTAAAAATAATTTTAAAAATATTTAGCTTGATGTGCAATACAGCTGAAAAAACATCACTGAGGCTTTTAACAGGGCAGCGGAATCTCTGGGAGATTATTACAAGCATAATGCTGTTAATGTAAAATGCTCTTAAAGATAATTTTATTAACTTGAAAAAAGATCTTTGCAATGAAAAATGAATAAAACATAAACAATTATCGATATAATAAATGGAATTCTTACGCTTCCGTCTCTACCTCGTCCTCTTTTATTATAAAGGTTTAAAAAAGTACATAGTTTATTGATTAATTTTAATGCTGTCTGAAGAATTGATATAAACAAAAAGTTTATTGTTATTATTTGTAAGGCAAAATTTTAAATATTCTCACCCTTTCCTGGCAAAGTTGGCTAAGTAATGAATGAGCTGCTTTGAGACTCCGATGTCCTGGTTGGTGTAGTTGTGAGGGAAGAATGGTTGGCCACCCACCAAAGGGAGTCCCATTACATAAGGCACGTCCTCCCCTCGCACGCTACCCATCCTCTGGAAAACAAAGAACAAACATTTTCAGACAAAAAGCTGAAGTGAGTTGATCAGTGTGCGTGTGTGTGTGCGCGTAAATGTACAGCGTTGTCGTGGTGACAATTTACAAAGTGTTCCGCTTTGGAACCCTGATTGCTAATTATAACTTATTAGTGGCCTGTCGGGGCAATAGCCCCATTCTGTAGTCGGAATCATGATGATTTATGTACGTGTGAAAACGGATTGCGAATAGTAAGTCGATAGCAAGCTGTAACATTGTTAGTTGATCACGGCGGTTTTGTTTTCTTAATGGTACGTTTAACATATCTGACAGTTAGTACTTCATATTTATGTCGGACAGAAACCGTGGTTAATGTAAACAGTGAAGAATTTGCGAAAGAGATTTACATTTCAACCATTAGCTATTTGTGTCGATACTTCTGTACCAATAGAAAACCATTTAGTTGCAAGTTCAACCGCGTTCTACACGTGTCGCAAAAGTTGGCCATTCCTCTACTTTTCTGCCATTGCAGTAAGTGTCGCGTAAACATAAGTGTCAAAAAAGAGTGGTTTAAATCTAAAATAAAATAAATTTAAAATTAGAATTTTTATTTAATCGTAGTACCTACTTACAAGATACTAAAAATTACTAGTGCTAAAAGCTACAACAAGTTGTTGTTGTTACACTAATAGCTTTTCTAAATTTGGTAGCTTGCTTTGTAGTTCGGTTGATTATGTGTTTGTGTGTTGTGGTTAGTGACCGTGAATCGATAATTATTCAGAAATCGTGAGATGCCGTCTGGTATGATGTAGGTTTCAGAAAAATATATTCTTTATCGTGCCAACGTTTCGATCTTTATTGAGATCATCGTCAGGGCCTCTGGGATTTACAAACATTGTTTACATTTAAGAAATACATTTAGAATGTTGAAAAGTGATTTTATACAATGCAAAATATATTTTTTATATTCAATCAAAGTATTTCTACTATCACACCAGACCGCATCTCACGATTTCTGAATAATTATCGATTAACGGTCACTAACCACAACACACAAACACATAATCGACCGAACTACAAAGCAAGCTACCAAATTAAAAATCCCACACCTGTAACAAATAGATATGACAATTTGGCTTTACTTTCCCTAATTATCCCCGTCTATATAATCCTGATAGGATAATCAGGCCAAACCATTACCCATTTTTTCCCATTGTCGGCTCCTTTCATATCAAAGAAGCCGATTCCTCATATAAAAATGTCTTTCTATCCCGACTCTTTCCCCATTCCTTCAAAATCAAACGTGTATAACTATAAAACAGCAATATATCACTGACACTCTCAACACGCAAGGATGGCACAATTACACAGAATCAATCATTAACTAACGGTCACTAAACACCACACAAAAATTTGAAAATTGAACTGGATCCTCAATACTGAGCTCATACATTTATTGATAGTGGACAACGACTTTTTTCACGTCTCAGAACCCACTCTCCAACCAACCTAGAACGTTTTTACTTCCTTTTCATCTTTAAAATAATGACACAGACCGAAGTTCTGCGTTTCGGTGATAAAATCAACTGTCATAATAATGAAAGAAATATACAAGTACACAGGATTCAAGTTCACATAAAAATGTATCTTGTATGTAAACGAGTCGTTATTTATTCCAAGTTTCGCATTTTGAGAACTGTCTTATAAATATCCATGATATAAATTTCTAGTTATTTCTATCAGTATGTAAACAGTCAAAGCGATTTTTTGTCGGACCTAGACATATATTTCCGTACAAAAGTGTCTGGTACCTTTATGCTGTAACAGGACAGTTTGGGGCCCAATCTTGGCTCACGACAGAGTTAGACCAGTGAGTATAACATGGGATCATAATGAGGGCTTAAAACAGAAATGAATTTTGCACCACTTTGACGATGTTGCAACCGATGTGTCGTTGACCTGGCGGTTTTCCTTCTGAATGAAAACTCGTGTTATTTCTTCTACTGTAGGTTTTACATTTACGCAGATCGGTTGGGACACAGTCAACAAAATGCAAGTTGAAGCGTAAAATATGACCAAGAGCTGTCAAAACTGCGCGGTTTAGTTTTTTAATCACTGGGCTTCCTGAACGATCCTCAGCATTGGAGGAGTCTATAAAATATAACGTTAAAATATAATTGACTGTATGGCGGAATTGTCACCCTCAGGTGTCAATAAATCTTATATGTTTCGGTGAGTCTGCCCTTGTACTTTAAGACAGTAAGGACCATCTTCTGGTCTTTTTTGTCTTTTCCCTTGCTGCTGAAAAAGTGGCAAATGCCGTTCGCTATTGTAATTCCGTATATCGTTCAGTTGAACAATTAAGGAATAGGTTTTAACTCCAAACTAATGTGTGGTTCTCGGAGTGAAATAAAATCATTGTAGCAGTTACAGTACAGTACCTTTCAGTACTAATGTTAACATTTTAACAATATTAGAACGGGAAAGTACTGTAAATGAAATTCCAAGGCTGAGAAACATACAAAACGGACGACGGTTGATTTACGAAGTTTAAATTCCTTTCGCCAGCCCCACCACTCACCATATATCAATTACTTATTTAACTTACTCACGATTAATAATTTATACTTTTGATAATTTTTCAAATAAACTTTGAGTCAGGGCTTTCGTTTGAGCCTTGAGGAACGAAAATCCGTGGAGGAGTTGGGCAGTAATTTTAATCAGCGTTTCGGACATTATGTTATATTATATACAGGGTGTCCCAGTTCCTTCTGACGAAACTCAGGGAATCGATTCTACTCTTCGTTTGGAGCAAAAATGCTCAGGGGAAAATTTTCGGAAAGTTCTCTATTTTGAAGATATTCGTCAATTTAGGTTTTTTTCAACTTTTCACTACCTTGCTGTAAGATACTTCTATTTGCAGTAATCTGAATGATAAAATGTTAAACAATATCAGTTAAACTTCGATCCCATCCGGCATTTTTCATTCAACCGGTCAAACAAGTGTCATTTTTATTTTACAAAGCGAGTTCTAATTGATTTATTTCTATCCCCCCTTCAAATTTACCTTAGCTCACGTTTTCGAACATTCAATTGTTATTTTTCAACTCTACTAGAACGTTATTTAAAAACCTGGATATATCAACGTAAAAGATATTAGAAGCTTTTGTGAAATTTGACAAGTTGTAGGTATTTTTTTGTAACCTCAGTAGAACGTGCAATCATGGCCAAAATTTTGTAATTTTGACATGTTCCAACTGATATTGGCTAACATTTTATGTAATTCAGATTATTGCAAATAGAAGTATCTGATAGCAAATTTAGCGTTCTTTCAAATGGTGTAATTGGATTTATTGTAGTCTCAACATTTTGGATGTTGTAAGCGTTTTTATGTGGTACGGTAATGAAAAGTTGAAAAAACTTAAATTGACGAATATTTTAAAAATAGAGAACTTTGCGAAAATTTTCTCCTGAACATTTTTTGCTCCAAACGAAGAGTAGAATCGATTACCTGAGTTTCGTCAGAAGGAACTGGGACACCCTGTCTAAGGATACAGCTTGATGAACTATATTCTTTACGGGATCAATAAAGTTTCATTACTAGCTTTTGATCATCTTGAACCGTCTGCTTAGAATCTGTAATAAACAAAACAGGATGGCGTTTTCTCAACCCGCCGAAAACAATGGGGAGTTCGGTTTAGGCCGATTCCCCGCACTAAGCTTCTTACAAAACACAATCCTTTATGAAAGACATTTGACTCTGTAACTAAGATGATCTTACTCTTTGTTTTTATTTAGAGAGAAGGTAATTAAATTTAATATCTGGTAATCTCTCGGTAAATAGCAATGATTCTAACGGTGAAATATATTGTTGGAGGTTAGAACAAATAAACAAATGTAGTGCTGTATATCCAGTTTAAAATAGAGAAATTGGTCCCCTGTTGAAATCGAGTGTCCGCTGTGTACTGTCGAGTCCTCGAGTTGTCGTTGCTAACGAAATGCAAATTCCATTTCAAATTTGGACCATGTTTTGACTAACCGGATATAAGTAATAATTAAAGTTAAAGACAACCGATGACTTTTAAGTCTACCAAATTAAGTAGCAACAAACATTTCATCATATTTTAAAATACACAGTTTCCATGTTTTGAAAGCTTTAATGAATTACATGACCTTATATAACGTATAACTTTTGATTATATAACGTATATCATGTGGTCTTCCAGGAACATCAGGTTTTATAGGTGAATTTGTGATACTTGTATCTACATTTCATTATAATCATATATATGGTGTATTGATGGCTCTTGATATCGTGCTTTGTCTGTCGGTGAAAGGTTGTCAATAGGCCGAACAAACCTAATGATTAATCCTAATGTTTTCCTGAAAAATATGCTTTTATAAGCAGTTGAAGAAAGCATATATGTTATGTCCGGTTGCTCGTGTTGTATCTGGTAATTTAAACTCAAATGTGAATGAGATCAAAGAATGTATATCGTTTGACAAATTTGTGCGTCCTTTTTCAAAATATTTGTGCTTTTAACGTGCAAATTAGTACTGTCGCCTCCTATCGCAAACACCGCTGTCGTGGGTTCGATTCTCACCATCTCCCGTGGAATTGTCGACCCGTACTGTTCCCTAAAAAAACATAATCTACTTGCATATTCTAGTTAATAGGCATAAAGCATATTCAAAACAATCTGTGTCATAAACTCAAGAGATAAATATGGATTGTTATTTGGTCAAAAACGAATGGGGTTACATTTCAAATATGGTTGTTTTACGGTTTGCAGTTTTATTCTATTATGGTTTTCCTTAATACAGGTAGGCTTGTTAGGTCTGAACACTGGAACTTTATTTGCGTCAGTTAATGAATATAAATATCTGGAGGTAATTTTAACATCAATACTTTCATTCAAATCCCATTTTGGCCAGACATTGTGTTAGGCAAGTTTAGCATTATGTCTACTATAATTAATAAAGGTTTTTAGTTGAGATAAAAAAGTCAATGGAACGAGCT